TTCCTGGCCGGCACCCCCGAGCACCGGTGCGCGCTGCCCCGCGGCGCCAACCTGAGCGGCGAGTGGCGCAACGCGAGCATCCCGCTGGAGGAGCGCGGCGGGCGGGCGGCGCCGAGCCGCTGCCGCCGCTACCGCCTGGCCGCGCTCGCCAACTTCTCGGCGCTGGGGCTGCGGCCGGGCGCCGACGTGGAGCTGGCGGCGCTGGAGCAGGAGCGCTGCCTGGACGGCTGGGAGTACAGCCGGGAGCTCTACCGCTCCACCATCGTCAGCGAGGTGCGGGCCGCGGGGCAGCGAGCTGCGGGGCGGGCAAGGTGCGCAGCGTGTGCGCGGGGCACGAGGTGCACAGGGGTGTGAGGCTCTGCAAGGCRTGCAGCGCGTGCAAGGCGTGCACRATGCACGAGGCATGCACGGCGTGCGAGGCGCGCGGCGGCTCTGTGCCCCCCGCTCCCCTGTGCAGCAGGGGGATGCGGGAGGAACATCCCGCACGTTCCCCGGGCCTGGGCGCGCGCCGGGAGCGCCTGTCAGCGGGTGCACTGCCCTCAGCCCGGGAGCGCCGGAGCCGCCAGCACCGGGCCCGCTGGAGGTGGCACAGGGAAGCAGCAGCGCGTGCCCCGGGGCTCATCGAAAGACGCGGGAACTGGGAAAATGGGAGCGAGGCCGGAGGGGCCACGGGGAGGGGGCTCCATGGTGCCAGCAGGGCCGGCCCGCACTGGGCTCCGTGGCCAGGGCCCCTGCGGGGCAGCGCTGCGGATCCCGGCGCGGCCTGGGGCGCCAGGCGCCACTGCCGCCACAGAAGGGACGGGCCCATCCAGGCTGCGAAGGGCCCTGCCGTGGCCAGGAGCGCTGGGGCAGGGGGAGGCCGGAGGAGGGGGCAGCTCCTGCGGCACGGACAGCGTGGGCTGCAGCCCTCCGGTCTGGCGGGAGCCGGCGGTGCTGGCAGCGGACGGGACGCAACTTCGGGGCTGTCCTGGGACATGGATCTGCCCTTGCTGCGGTGCCCCAGGAGCGACTGCGAGCAAAGAGCATGGGACCAAATGCCAGKCTTCCATCTGGAAGGCAGATGGAAAACAAGGATATTTGCTTTGGTTAAGACATTTGGAAAAAAATCTGGGTTCAGTTTTGAAGCAAGGCAAGCGGGCGTTGCTGAAGGCACGGAAGACACGGCTCAGCCTGGCTCGGCTGCTCATCCTCAGTGCCGAGGCCAACATTTTTCACCGCATTAGCGACAGCGAGCCCGGACACGCCAGCGGGCCTGGCGAACACCCTCCCGGTGCTGGCGCGGTGCCCACGGCACCCGCACGGCACCCGCACCGTGGYGGCCACGCGGCTSCCACGTCCCCACGGCTGTTGCTCCRTGGAGTGGTGCCGCTCACGGCCCCACAGCCGCTTTCCCGCGTGCCGGCGCTTGGCCCCGGCCACACGGCCCCGTCAGGGCTGCCCCCTCGGTGCCGCCTGCCTCAGCGGCACCGGGATTCACGGGGCACTTCGGGTCGGCGCTTCTCACGGCACCGGCGCCCTGGCAGTGAGCAGGTATTTTCTTTGGTATTTTTTCAGAGAAATGGTCCTTGGTGACRGTGTCAGGCAGAGTTTGTTCTTCCACAAGCCCACAGCAGCTGGGTGATTTGCGGGAAGAGATTTGAGGTATTTATGATAATAAAGTGATTAAATGGCATATTCTTCCCACGCAGGCTGTGTCTCTGGAGGTAACAGCATTTGGTTTGACACTTAAATGAACTTTGCTCTCTGGTATGCTGCGCCAGGGGCTTTGCAGTATTAGTTATTTGCAGGTTAATGAATAATTATTCTAGGAAGGATAGTTTGGAGCTGTAGCTGCAGCTCATTTAGGGGGGAATCCTAGGTGTGAATGAGAGCAGTGCTGCTGTTTAGCCCTGCAGCAGCAGAACGTCCGTATTGTGCTGCCCACCCCAACCACGTTTGCAGCAGTTGAATTTCTGTGGCACGTGCAGGGTGGCATCGGATAAAGCAGCCTTGAAGCTGCTAGCGAGGTGGGAGGCATTTGGGGCCAATAAACCACAGGAGGCAGCYGCACTCGTGAGGAAATTGCATTTAGCTGGTCTGGAAACATGCTAAAGCCGAAGGCTGGGTGCCCGGGGCTGTGGGGCAGGAGTGGCTGCCCCACACGCGCCCGTCTCCACACAATTCCTGGGATTCCCAGCCGTCACGCTCCATTATGTGGGGCTGGAGTTGTGACAGCAGCTGCAAGGCTCGAGGGCTGCGCTGCTCAGGGCCTGCCCCAGGATGACTCCGTGTCCTGGCGTGTGCAGCCCAACAGTCCTTCAGGCATCGGGATCCTGGTGCTCGGGAAGCATCTCTGGGAGGCAGCGGGGACCGGCAGCGCTTCCCGCAGGTGGGAAGAGGGTGCCCTGACGCCCGGCACATGGTGCAGGGGCCTCTGCCATAGCTGGCGCTCCGTGCTTCCTGCGTGCGTCTCCCCCTGCAGCAGATGGGGCTTCTTCCATGGGGCTCGTCCTGGATTTCGGCATCCGAATGACACTTGGCTTCATCACGCGTGCTGCCAGCTCGTCACGAAGCCCCTTTTCCAGGACGGGTGCCCCCAGCCTCAGTGGCCGCGGCTGGAGGCTGCTCCCAGGGGCCAGGACCGGCCRCTGCCCGGGCCAACTCCTTCCAGCGCCCCTGCCAGCCACGGGGCGCAGCCTCCTGGCTTCATCCGCTGCCCCAAGGGGAAAAGCTGTGTGTTCTTACATGCTGGGCACAGCGTGTACTGAGAGAGCACAGAAAACTGATGATTTTGTGTCAAAACATGTCTGCAGCAAGGAACCTCCTCACATCCCCCCGCGATCTGTGGGCGAAGAGGGSATGCTCTGTCCCACGGCACATCCCTCGGGCAGGAGAGGCAGCACTGGCTGCTCGTGGCGGCTGTAGCTCACGGTGACTGTTCCCTGCAGCGGCTGTAGCTGTAGGTGTTTGTGGTGGTGGTCGCTTCCTGGTGCCCACCACCCAGTTCGGGGGCCCCGTGTCCTCAGCAGGTTCCTGGCGGGGTCAGATGAGACCTCGGGCGCTTGGAGCAGCAGTGAGAATCCCACTTTTCTCTCACATGCAAAACAGATACTTTTCCTTGAGAATGTAACCGTTCTGCAAGCAATTTTATTTTTTCTCAAGCCTAGCATCCTTGAGAGTATCAGAGCCTTCCCTGCGCACCCCCTCACTTCCATCTTATCAAATACAGCAAAGATAAACAAACACAGATAAACATCCAGCCCACATCCCTCCAGCTTCTTCTTTTCTTCCAGCAGTGAGCAGAAAACACCTCCAGAAGTGGTCAACAATTATGTTTTTTCTGCTGTTAACCAGATTTAAGCACCACTCTGAGTCTTCCATTTTTACAGACCATGCCTCCTTGTACAGTTTTTAGAAACAGGCAGGGGCTGCATTGAGGAATGTGATTATTTTTGTTATTTGCACTATATTACTTTCTGGGCTGACAGGATGGGGTGTTTTTCAGTGTGAGAGTTGCTCATTTTCGTTGACTGCACCAGAAGTTTGAGCCACCAGCGGGGGAAATTTCAGCCCAAATCTGTGGGCTTTTGTTGGCCACTTCTGCTGGCAGCGCCAGCCCTGCCTGGGGCAAAGCAGAGGGATGGCCCCGCTCCCTGATATCAAAGCTAATTATTAAAACTGTGGTGCACTTTGATCTGCAGCCTGCTCGGCAGAGTTACCTGAGATGAGTTTGCGCGGCCTCAAGCCTGCAATACCGAGGGGTCTCTCCATCCTGCAGCCTCCCCTGGCCTCGCCAGAGCCTCCCGCCAGGTGGAAGTTTCCGTGCTGGCCCGCAGCCCAAACAGCCCTCAAAGGCAGTTCCCGCACGAGGGATGATGAGTCATGAGCAGTGGATCTCTGCCGCGGGTTGTTAGCACTGAGAAGGCTTTGAAAATGCTTTCATAGGAGCAAAGCGGGTTATTTTGTGCCTGTTTTTGTTTTCACAAACAGAAATAGAGCAGTTTTCATGGCAGAGGAGGCCAGGTAAAATGGGAAACTTCCTTTGCTGGGGGCCAGGCCGCCTGTGTAGCTGGAGACGGGCAGAAACACAAGTGTGGAAAAGCGGGTGCACGTGACATGGAGCCCGGCTCTTTCCCGACACACACAGTTACTCAGCAGCCGCCTCAGGGGCTCGCAGCSGGTTGGCATCCCAGTGTCCCCAGCCGGGGCCAGCAGGGTCTCAGTCGCTGCCGTTGCCTTGCAGTGGAACCTGGTGTGCGAGGACGACTGGAAGGCGCCGCTCACCACGTCCCTCTTCTACGTGGGGGTGCTCGTGGGCTCCTTCGTCTCGGGGCAGCTCTCGGACAGGTGAGGCCGCCGCTTCCACGCCCGCTCTGGCCATCCCTGGCTCGCATCTCGTGCCTGCTCGGCACTGGATGCGCCCGTGCTCGCAGTGCAGCCCTTTCACCATCCTTTCCAACACAGATGTTGCTCTTCGTGGCAAGTTAATGGGAAATTTACTTTACAAGTCCTAAGGCAGGAAGGAAACCTTTTCCCTTAAGTGGAAGGAAAGCCCTAAAAGGATACTAGCAATTAGAGGATGCTAATGGATGCAATATATAAAATACAAGAGACATTTGGCAGTTGTCTCATCAGTGTTTAAGCCCCGTCCCTACAAGTGCCAGGGCAGCACCTGAGCCTGTGTCCCCATTAGCCCCTGTTGCTGCAGGGTGCCAGGCACAGGCCAAACCGCTCCCGTTAGTCAGAGCCCCCCCAGGAGTTGCACTGGGATCAGCATCCTGAGAGTTCAGCAGAGGGTCTTGGAAAGCTGGTGTGAGCTTTAATCCTAAAGCCTCCAGTATTAAATTCCATGTGATCCGAATTTAATCTGATGCCTTCTGACCCCCAGTACAGAAGTCGTTTGGTGTTATGTTTGCAAGGAGATGAGATAATCACTAAACCTTGCCAGGAACATCCCAGGAAACGCGTGGAGTGCACACTGGGGCCAGGGTGCCCTGCCTGCTGCCACCAGGCCCCTAACAGGACATCTGGCCACGAGCTCCAGCCACTGGTGAAAACGCTGCTCAGCTGGGAAGATGAGGGCGGGTTTTTGTGCTCCGTTTCTCTTCTCCAGGGCAGTGAGGGGTCTCGTAACAACCTTCTTTGTCTCTGTGAAAGGTTTGGCAGGAAGAGTGTCCTCTTCTCCACCATGGCCGTGCAGACCGGCTTCAGTTTCCTGCAGATCTTCTCTACCAGCTGGGAGATGTTCACGGTGCTCTTCCTCATAGTGGGGATGGGACAGATCTCCAACTACGTGGTGGCCTTCATTCTGGGTAGGGATTTGTCTGCATTGTATCAAATATTTGCTGGATGTAGGGCTGTTTTTCTTCCTCTTCTTCTGAACCTGCAACTTTTAATAAGAGACACCAGTAAATCATCATTAGCACAATTTCTGATTTAGGTCAGCAGGATGTTTGTTTCTCCTGAATACTTTAAAGAATCTCTCTGAGAGGGTAGAGCCTCTGCACATTATAAGTTTAGAGAAGAAAATGAGTGCAGGAAACATCTAAACAAAAATAACAAACATAACAAACATTTGTGTCCCTTCTAGAGAACTATAGGAAAAAGTTCAGGGGAGTGTGCAGRGTTGGTTATCTGCAGAAACAGGTCTGAGATAAAAAAGGCGTTTCAGCCTCCTCCTCGTCTCACCACCCTTCCCTAAGACATCAGGCCAGGCAGCAAACATCTTGGACCAGATATTCTGCTGCAAACTGCCCGACTTAAATGATGAGCCTTACTGAACTGCTTGCTTCTATTAAATACCTTGTTTCAGTAATTAACATGTTCAGCAACTGAAACTTCCAGTAGTGTAAACAATGGTAACTGAAATAATTAAAAACTGGAAAACAATGATAAAACCTTATTAATTGGCTTTGCAAGTTACTAAGTCACTGAATACAGAATGAAAAAAACTCCTTCTTAGCTACAATTTCCCATGTGGTGGGCTGGCTTAATCCTTGGTTCTAGAACTGTGGAAGTCACCAGCATAGCCTGCACCAGGGATGGATTAATTTAGAATTTCAGGAAAGAATATTCTGTGTTTTTGTTCTTTTTCATTTACTCATTTAGAAAGTTTAAACTTTAAAACTGAATGCAAAAAAAAAGATAACTTTGAGAAAGATAACTTTTAATTACAAGTCTTCATAGACCTGTAATAACAGGTTAACAAAACTGTAATGAAATGAAGGGAAAAATCACCTTGCTTAGTTAGATTTTTGTGAATTATTTAATTACTTGTCTTTGGATAAGCATAGTTTGCTCTGCGTTTTCTCCTCGGGGCAATGGCTGGATCCTTGAGCGAGGTCATTCTGAGCACATGTTGCAGCTCTCCCTGGTAGCACTGTAAGGAAGTGTTAACCAGCCAAGTGTTCAACGTCCTTTGGTTTATTGGTGTCTCTGCATTGGAGGAGAAAGTGTATGACTGTCTTGTGGGCCTTTTGTCCGTCATGTTTTAACCCTGAAAATGGTTTGGAACGGAAAGGGTATTTACACAGATTCTATCTTCTCTGATACTACATTCAGCAAACTTTTCATATGCTTGGGCAGGCCAACCTTTTTCTTTCAACACATGGTTAAGGAATCAATGGCTAAATTCACACTCCAAATTTAAATCTGTATCTCCATATAGGAGATCAGCAGTTTCATCTGGCTTCTCTATTTGATACAGCGGTTCATATAAGTTTTTAGAATATGCAGATACTAAAAAAAGTCATTATTATTATTATGTTGTTATATATTGTTATACAACAGATAATATGTTATATTGTCTCCTCTGCCCTCCTGGAGGCTTGTTCCAGAAATGATGATTCTCTTTGCGAGCAAAGAGGTAGATGACTTTGGTGCTTGATGTTTTTGATGTTTTTCCTCACCATGAGCCTTGAGGCTATTGCTCAGGATAGGATTAATTCAAAGCCATTCACAAGTCAGCGCTCTGATTTAAGTTAGTCATCACTCTGATTTAAGTTAGTCATCGTCCATCTGTCAGCAAGGAGGAGATGAGTCGCTCCTGCAGGATGATCCTTCCCACGCCAACCTGTGCAGAGATGAAGCCTGGGGCTCACTAGGTTGGCTGCTCTCCAGCTTCCACACAGAGCACAAGGCAAAAATGCCCAGCACGAAAACACGATGAGAAGGAGCTTTCCCGCACGGAAGCGGGATGCTACTCGCCCCATGCAGCTGTTTGCACCCTTTGCAGCATTGCTCTCACCTGCATGGCAATTGTTTCCTTTGCAAGCTGCCAGGGAGCCACTCTAGAGATTTTTTTCAGCTGCCTCTTTTGAAAGTTTTGGCTTTTTGTTCTTTTTTTTTTTTTTTTTGCTTGCATCTAGGCCGTGGTGGTTTCCTGTGCTCACAACTTTTCCATTCAAGTTCTGAGATTGTAAAGCACTGTTACTTTGTGAAGGCATCTTCACAAGATGTCCTGGCCTCTCTTGTTGGCTGCGAGTTGCCACAGACCCTACATTTGAACATTGTGTCTGATGTGCATAGAGCTGTGTTTCAGGTTTCAGACCTCTCCTAAGGGTCCCTTTCCACAAAAGCAACCTGAAAAAGACAACAGGTTAATTAATCTCCCCCTTAGGGACTATTTATCCCTAAGAGGTCTTATTTTCAGTTTTCTTATTGTGAATTTGTTCAGTTACTCAGAGTCCTTAAACTAAAAAAACATCTTGCTATGAAATAATTTTTTGAGGGCCTTGGACTTTTTTTTTTAAATGTAATAATAAAAGTTAAGGGGGCGGTTAACATGTCACAAAGCTAAAACATACTGTCCAGATGCCCTGAGGCCCCCAGTTTATTCAGTGGAATTTGCTTTTTAATTGAATCCAGGCTGCCTTGTATGAGTTATGGCACTCATAGTGCTCTGAATGATAGGAAATTTCCGTAGACCTTTGGCTGAGCTCAGCGAGAAGTGAGGTAGAACTGGGCTGTGCTTGGATTTTCTTAATCAGAGGCGAGGCTTTTTATTGGAAAAGAAATGAGGTGCTTTTGAAGACTTGCCACATGTTCTGTACTTGCCATGTATCTGCAGGTACTGGATATCACCCTAGACAGGGCTGTGTATGATCAGTTGTAGCCTGCCTGGTTCCTTAACCAGAAGCTTTATTAGAAGACAGTAATTCCCACTTTTCACATCCTTCAACCTGCTCTGACTGAACAGCCTGTGTCCCCAAACACAAACTGTGAAATTTGTACCCTTTGACCATAAATCCCCCTTCTTCCACTCACAAGCCCCTGTGTCCGGCCGCCCAGATGGGTTCCTTATCAGGAGCATTCGGTGTGTTCAGCTGTGAATTGCTGAGCCGGTCACGAAGGCTCCTGAAAGTCTGCGCTCCATAGCCCGTGTCTGCTTATCTCCCTTGGACAATGTCAGATCAAAACAAATGGGAGCTGCCCCTGCTCTGAACGTCACAGATATTCCCGGCTTCTTTTCTGGATATTCCTGGCTTCTTTTCTTTCCCCAGTAGCTCRGTGGCTCTGTCTTGGGGAACGTGGGTCGCTCCTGCAGCTGGAGGAGCTGGGTGAGCTGCGGGGTCCGCACCTACCTCCGAGAGCAGCTGCTTGTGCCCCTGCACAGCTGTGATCTCCCAAGCTAGACACAGCTCGTCGGGGAAGGAGCGAGCTGAAAACTTGTCCAACTGCAGAACCTAAAGGACCTGTCTGCCTGCATGGGGAAAGGCAGCACAGCAAGTCTGACACTGCTTTGTTTTGGAGAAAACCTTGATGTAGGTCTATTTTTCTGTAAAGAGGCATATTCTCTTTGTGAGCAGGTGTTCAGTGTGCTTGCCTTCCTTTTAATGGTTTAGAATAGAAAAAAAGAAGAATTGGAAGCTGCAGAGCAGTAATGAACTAAGCAGGAGAATAAGGATGCCAAATACAGCCTAACTAAAAACCTGAAAATATTCATACTGAGATATCTAGGGAAAAAAAAAAAAAAAAAGGTAAGGGACAAGATTTTTCATGGATAGGCACTAGAAGATTTGGCCCCAGGCATGTGTTTAATCTGCCCAGCAGTAAGCAGCAGAGACAATATAACTTTCATCAGTTCAGCCAAGAGTTTGGCTAGGATTAATGTACAATCCCAGAGCTCACTGTTTTGGAAATCAGGCCAATGAAGATAATTTAAATATCCCCTGCTCAGTCTTTCCCACGAGGAGAGGATATCCAGAGCTATTTGGTTCAGCTGCCACCTCTGGGACTTGCCCCTGCAGGAGAGTTTTGCGGCTGCAAACACAGCAACATTTACAGTTTAAACAACTGCCCCAGACCAAGCCATTCTAGCTGTCCAGGTGCAAGCTCCTAAGCTCACAGGTGAGGAACATGCAAACACTTCCACTGCAAGCAAACCTGGGTTGGRTTTGCAGCAGACTGCAAAAACACTCCAGCAATGCAGTGTCCCCATCCCTGGGTACTGCTGTAGAGAAGGGGGCTGCCTATAGCAGAGGTTTTCTGTGTCTGCAGAGGTATCTGGCATTGGCCACCACTGGAACTGGGACACAGAGCTCAGTGGGCCAGCTCTCTAATCGCAAGATACATAGAGCAAGCCACAGAAGAGTTCATATTTCATTATGCATTTTCACATGCTAGCTTTGGTTTTCTGTTCCAAACTTATTTAAACTCCTGGGAGATGTGAACAATCATGGCTTCATTAAAAGGACACTGTCAACTGTTTCATTTCTGAGTTTGTCAGCCTTTGCAGTAGAGGACAYTTCAGTTAACTAGGTCTCCAATCCTGTGTTGGATCTGTGAGCAAATGTTGATAGCAGTAATGTAGAAACTGCCTAGATGTTGCTAGTGGAACTATGTGCTGAAAATGGTTTTGCATCAGGGCTATTGGGGTTACTGGCAAAGACTGGTTGGCTGCTCTCCAAAGTCATTCAGTGGCACGGCTGTTCCAGGGAAGGTGTACAGCAAAAATCTGGAGGGGTCTCCCACTGATGAGTATCACCTTAAAGATGAGCTCTTACTCCTTGAATGTATTTTAGACTATAATTGGAACTGTAACTCCTTGACAGTGTCCCTTTAAGTATTATAAAAGGAAATGCTCATTTCTAAGATTGTTTTAGCRTATTTTTTTTGTGAATGCAGTAAACTTATTTAGTCATGATTTAAAAAAGCAGAGTCAAAATGCTAATCCAAACTCCCTTGTTTTGAACAGGAACAGAAATTCTTGGCAAATCAGTTCGTATTATATTCTCTACGTTAGGAGTTTGCATATTTTTTGCAATTGGCTACATGTTGCTGCCACTATTTGCTTACTTCATCAGAGAYTGGCGGATGCTGCTACTGGCTCTCACCGTGCCGGGGGTGTTCTGCGTTCCGCTGTGGTGGTGAGTGTCGCCGGGCYCCGAGTCCCATCGTGGCTCCCTTCTCCAGTCTGAATTACTGGACAATCAGAGGGTTTGAACTTCCCGACCTTCAAACTTGCACTGGCGTGTTGGTTTCTTTTTTCTTTATTTTTTTTCTCCTTTTCCCTCCTCTTCAGTTTTTGGCATTGCATTGGCCTTAAAATGGAAGGTTTTTTTTTTTTTGGTGCCAGTTTTAAGTCAAGCGAACTGTCTGCTGAAGCTCCCTGGCCATGCGCTTGAATCCACTTTTTACCAGCTTTCCAGTGCAGCTTAAGAATTTTGTATTTAAATCCTAACTTTGAACAATATTAACACCTTTTTGTTTGCCACGTACTACTGCTGGATGACATGTACTCTACTTCATTTTAACTTTTTGGCTTCCTTTTTTCTTTAAACATTTTTTCTTTTCATGTGGATTCAACTGCTGATTGTACTAAAGTCTCACTGAAACGCTGTACAAGTTTTGTGTCATGTAACACATTTAATACTAGATAGGTTAGGAGTATTTAATGTTAGATATAGAGTGTATCACCATACAGCCTTCTGCAGTGAGTTCCAAGAATTTCACACTTTCCTTAAAAATTCTCTATTTGGTTAGTAATACCTTACCCTTAGAGGAGGAACTTGCTGACTTAAAACAACCCCATGATTTTTTTTCTTACAATTTGCTTGCAACCTGTTGGCCAATATTAGAATGATTCAGAGACCCCCAATTGTGTGGTTGGGAAACAGTCGTTATTAGGAATATCAGCATCTGGGAGCTGTTTACCAAGCAGGCTCACCTGAAAGCTATATGTTACTTTAGCTCTCAGATGCAGCAACTTCTTCCAGGTGGGAAAGCACAAGAGAGAAGCAGGTTTCATCTTGATTCTATCAGGTTCTCCATGAATGAGAGATCTCAGAGCAGGTGAGGGTCAATGAAGCAAGGGCAGCCCTGGCAGGCAGTTGGAATGCTTTGCTTCTCCTCCTCCTCCTGTTCATTTTCTTTCTTAGGCTTAATTTTAAGTTCTTGGCCCATTTCAGGGTGGATAGAGTAAAATGTTCATTCCTCTAAGGCAGTCCCTGGGAAGAAAAAAAAATCTTTAAAAAAAACCCTCTACTGATACATCTCTACTGATTCAGCCATTTTTTGATGCTGTAAATAGGAGATACTGACTTCTTTGCCTTTGAAGGTTGGCAGTGCTGCCTTGCTGAACTGGTCCAGCTTCCTAGATGCTGGAGATGAATGGGAACTTAAGGGCTGAAGCACATCTGTATTTTAAATCTAAACTAGAAAAGGATTGTGGAAGTTGTCTAGCACAGCCACTTACATTGTTATACATCACACATCTGTGCTGTTGAGCATTCTGCCTTTTTTTTTCCTCATTTTCCTTTTTTCTTCAACTCTTTCCTACCTGCTACAAATACACATTCACTTCTCTTCTGTCCACCCTGGGTAGGTGGGCATACAGCAAAGACACTAGGTGCTGTGTGCTCAGCCTTGGGGAGGCCAAAGGTATTGCTTGATTCCTGGAAGCCCAGGAAGGGGAAAACTCATGTGAAGATCTAGGAGCTTGAGTAGCATGAGCTGGAAGGTAAGTGTTCCCAAGCTGGCTCACAGCCAGGTGAGCTAAGGGCAAGAGGAGATGGGTTTTAGCATCCACCTGGCGATTCCTGTTTCACATGGCATGTCAGCAGCCTTGAAAGCAGAGGACAGAGCCTGCCCTGCATTACAGCAGTGACAGGTACCCAGGGAAAGGCAGGCAGTTCCACCACGTACGCCTGCTTAGCAGGTCTTGTCATGAGAGTGCTCACAGAGCATGAACAGGGGTCACAGGTAGCTCTGTATGTCACCTGTGCTTTATGTTCTTGTGTTGCCAAGGATGCTAACAAAAGGCTTTGGAGCRACAGCCTTGCCCAGCAAAGATCTTCTATTTTGCTTTGCATGCAGCTCTCACCTGGGACTTGAAGAAGGCAGTAACTCTGGCTAAGCTGAAGGCTGGCTGCTCTACGGCTGCTCCTGTAGCCACACTGTCCTCTTGGTTGCCTGGTTTTCTTTTCATCTTTCCATTGCATTCATCCAGCTTTGCCTTAATGTTTGGGTGGGAATGGGAGTGCTCCTGCACTTGCCTGTGGTTGCAAAAAGAGTTAAGGAAAACTTACTTAAGAAAAAATTACTGTGTTTGACAGAGGCATCACAGGAGGGGAGGTATCCTTGTTCTGTGGCTGCCCAAGTCATCTGTTATTTTTCTGAAGGATAGTTATTTAAAAACTACAGAAGGAAAGGGGTGGCATCTTTCATACTTGGAAATACAAGCATAATTTACTCCAAAAAGTTATGCGAGGTAGGTCCCTCTTTTCATACGGGTCTTAACTGAAGAACTCCTTTCTTCTTGTTATCTTGAAACAGCTCTACAACACCGGTGTATTTCACTGTGCACCAAACAGCTTATCTAAGTGCAAAATTGTGTTGAGATAGATTGATATTAGATGGAATTTAGGCATCTGAGCCCACTACTTCCATGAAAATGTTACTTCATCCTTCTCTGTTGCTTTTTTTATTCATTCCTATTCCAAAGATGCCAAAATGTTTCCAATATTGTCTCTGCAGTCTTGTATCCTTCAGCTTACCCACAAGGAAATCAGTGCAGGTAGTCTCCCTCTCATAAACTCATGTTACAAATGGAACAAGCTCATAGCAATCACATAACGCTTAAAACCTTTGGTATCATTTGGGGTCAGCCCCTCAGGGAATTCATTGGAAAGGGAGTGTCTGACCTACTTCGTTTTTCAAGGAGAGAAAAAATTACCGCTGTCAGATGAAAGCAAGCCAGCATCTGTTGAGACTGAAAGATTCAGTTACAGAAAGGTGCAAATTTCTGTCCTGTGTTTGGTGTTAACACTCAGCATGTGCCTGGAATTGATTTGTAAATGTTACCTACTCTACTACTACTGTGCTTTACCTGCGAGAGCCTGCATCAGATCAGTGGTTAAAGCAAGACATTTGTGCACAAGCTTCCTGTGACACAGATCACAGCCTTTAAATATCCTCTCTGCATGTAAAACATTTCCACACTGGAGTTTTGTAAGAATTTTCTTTAGTATTAGTCAAGCTACCTATATCTTTGCTGTTCACCTAGTAACTTCTGTCATTTTGGTGGGCAATAGTTACCACCTGAAAAACAGTGATCTAGACAAGGGCCCAAGCACATAACTGCTTAAGCATGAAAATAAACATGTTCCATATATTTGCATTCTTGCATTGAGGACACTGATCCCAACGGGACATATCGGTGAACTGCATTACCCACGTGCTTATGCATTGACTATGTTCTATTACAAATAACCTGTGAGATGAAAGGGTAACTGAGAAAAAACTATAAGTATGTTTTTAATACGGCTTGTACTTTTGTGAAAACGTTGAGTCATTGATTCTGACACTTATTACAGGATCATTCCTGAATCCCCTCGGTGGCTGATCTCCCAGGGAAGATATAAAGAGGCAGAAGTTATTATCCGAAAGGCTGCAAAAATAAATGGCATTCCAGCCCCAGCTGTGCTTTTCGACACCATGGAGGTATATGTCATATGTCTTGCTCCTTTACCTCTTCGCAGTTTTGCCCTTTGGCCACTTAATTTCTTGTGAAACAGCACAGTAAATGTGCTTTACAACACAAAAGGCTGCCATTTACTGTTGACTGAAGGTAAGTGATGCCTTGCTAGGCTTAGGGAGCTTGAAATGAGAAGCCAGATGATTTTCTGAGTTGTTTGTTTTTTACAGTAAGGTTGTTTTCTTCGGCTGTGGTTGGTTGTGTTTTTCAGATCAAGGGTCATGCTCAGATTGCTTCCTCATTCAGGCAGTGGGGAAAATCCAAGGAGAAGATAGATTTATTTGCATGGCAGTTTGGTACCCTATTAACAGCTTGCAACTTTGCAGCAGCTCTTCCATGAGAGATCTGGTCCTGCGTCCAGTGCTGAATGCACGTGTGCCCATGCTCCCTGGATGTGCCAAAGGGATTCTTCAGACCTTGCAAACTAGTAAAGCACCAAAAGGCACCTARAAGTGCACTTAAAAGTGTGAATTATAGTGAAGGCAGTGAATAATATGCAGCTTTTCAGCAGGCTAGTTTCTTGTATTTTGTCTTTGCTGGCAACACGAAGGAAGCCTGGCCCAGCACCCACCAGTGTCTGCAGAGCAGGTGCAGCGGCTGCAGGAACCGATGAGCTCATCCCAGGGCTCCTTTCCCCCTCTAGTGGCCGTTTCGCCTCCTTTTCAAAAAGCAGAGGAATTTTCCTTCCTCAGAAATACTCAGTCTTACTTCCAACCATGTGTTAATAATAGTCACATGTAGCTGTGTCAGACCTTACGCTAGAGCCTTTAGTACTTTAGTACCTAATCTAAATCTAATACAACAGGCAGACAGAGACCCACACACTCTTCTAGAGGAGAGAAATGCTGCTTGCCATGTTTCTTGTTGGCAGCATCAATTTCTGGAATGTCACGCTTACATTTGGGCTAGGTTGCTTAAGGGCTCTTTTCACATGTATGTTTTAGTGCAAATTCAAGTGTATATTCTTGCTATGAGAAGCTCATCCTGCAAAAGCTGTGGAAAAGCACTTCCCCTTCCTCACAGACAGCATTCAGATGTCTTTCATACTGGAAATTACTTTTGAGTCTCCAGTGGAATCTGCTTTTCATCATTGCTGCATATTTCTGAGACCAACTGGCAGCTCATCTATCCTTCCACTTTGTGGGAATCTCGCTTGCCTAAGTGCTTGTCCACAAAAGCCTGGGGATTTCGTTTGCATAYTGAAGCCTCCATTGAAGTATTTCTCAGACACTGCCAGGAAAGTGTTTCTTAGAAACCAAAACCTTTTCTTAGGAAGCAAAACCTCCTGGCTTGCCAAGCAGCAGCAGCTAGGAAGGCTCAGCAGATCACCTTCCTGCAGGCACCTCAGTGCCGTGGCTTGGTCTTTACCTGAAGCAACTGGCCTGGGATTGTAGTTCCCTCCGCCTCCGTGTCSCTTGTCTTGTGGCTGCTCTTCTGAGTCGGAAGCTCTCTGGGTCCTCCCTGGTGCGACCAACCAGCCATGGAGGCCTCTGTGCAGGTAGGAACAGCACTCTGAGACCTCCGAGCAGAATCTTGCCTCAAACCCCAAATTGGACTGTCTCTGGAAAGTGAGGACATGCGGGTGGATATTGCCATGCACGTGACCTTAGCACCGAGCTCCAGCTCAGTTTGAACAGAAGAGAGTTGAGCAGATGCTGCACAGAARTAGGCCCTTGGCAATCACTTTACAACAGGAAGCTCTGCATCAGCTCRTGAAGGAAGCTGTCACACGTCTTTTCTGCCAGTGGATACCCCTTCCTGAAGGGCTAACAAGCTACTGTGGTTTTGGAGCTCACACACACAGCTGGACGTGACTCTGGAGCACAGCTGGCTGCAGAAACAAGCTGCCTGCCCAAGGATGCTCCCTGATGCAGAACCAGCCCTTGGGCTGACTGGTTGTCCCCCAGTATAGTCATAACTGCATAATTGCCCAAACTTGTGGGTGTGCAAAGGTTGTTTTGCTCTTAGGTGTGTGGGAATTTTTTCGGTTTTGTTTTCCTTTTTCCTTCAGATGCAGGATTCGAAGCCTCAGCAGCAGCAGAAGGCTATCCTTCTGGACCTATTTCGAACCCGAAACATTGCAACTATTACTATTATGTCATTACTTTTGTGGTAAGGAAATGTGTATTCCTAAAGTACCCAGGCAATATAACAAATTCTGATTTGAGAACACATGTCATGGCTTTAGATAATGAATCTTACAGTCTTGGACCCTGCTTATACATGGTCCTTAGCTAATACCTGGCCTTCAATGATCCCTGCAGCCACACTAGATTAACGTGCAAGCATGTGGAGAGACTAGCCCACACTCAGATATAAAGTATTTTGGAAAACCTAAGAAACAACTTTAATTTGGGGGATTTTTGGTTTTGTTTTTAAGAAATTGTCACCATCGTGTCTGTTGGAAGAAAATATCTTTAAACCTGGGCAGCAAATCGGTAGTACCACAAGCACTAGAACCCCTTGCCAACGTTTCTGATCAGTTTTAGAGCTCCTAGCTCAGCGAGAGCCTCATCCCTGCCAGGGGCAGCTGCATGGAACGAGGATGCGAGTAACACCTAGACAAGCTGTGATCCTTTTCTGTACATATTTCCCCCAGCTGAGAGGCCTGGCTAGTGCAGCTGGCATGCCATAGTGAGGCACCCTTGAGATCTGAAACCTGAATATCCAGCTCTCTCAAGAAGATTAAAATGAGATTTAATGGAGCTGCAGGGTGGGAGATGTGCTCACTGGAATTTGCTGTAAATAAGAACATAGTCGGTATTGAACATTTTCAAGACTTACTTCATTGTGCTGTTAATGAATCCATTGCAGTGAAAAAGTCTTTGCGTATGAGTTGCACAAAGGCCTTCAAGTAATGTTATACACTCGGGAAGATCAGTGAAGCCAGAGGTCTCTACAAGCTGCTGTGGATATGACCAGTGCAAAGGATGAAAGAATTAGAAAGATGGGGTCACCACTGATATTTTTAAGCCACATTATCTGTGATCATGCTTTGTAACACCCTACCTAAGATCTGAGGTAACACTCTAGATACCTGAAAAACAGGGTTCCTCGGATAACTGATTTTTATGCCTTTCTCAGGATGATAACATCGATTGGTTACTTTGGCCTGTCACTCAGCACCCCAAATTGGCACGGAAATGCCTACGTCAACTGTTTCCTCTCAGCGGTTATTGAAATTCCAGCTTACGTGATTGCCTGGCTTCTCCTCCGCTACCTGCCCCGACGGTACTCGATATCTGCCACATTGTTTTTAGGAGGAAGTGTTGTCCTCTTCATTCAGCTGGTTCCTACAGGTACAGAATTCAATACGTGACCTAATACTGTAAAATATTTATAACACTATTTACTTATCTGGTAGTTCAATAAAATCATTGGAAACCATAATCAAACTTACAGTCTGAGGTCAAAGCCATGTGCAGCCATATTTTTAAATAACATTATATATATATGCTGAGTCACAGCTCATTTATTGTGTCATATTACTGAGCTTTTTATAGTCCAAGGGAATCGGCTTGTAAAATGAGAGCCAAGAGTGTACTGTGATTTGTCTGGTTACGCCTAATGGCTAAAAATCCCTGCAAGTGTTCCAGATTTCACTGTGCATAGATACTCCCAGGATTTTGCTAGAGCAGGATGGCTATAAGCCTGTGTTCTGTTACTGTATAAATGCAGAGTCTCACTTYAGTTCATTAGACTGCAACAGAGCCAGCGTCTAGGAAATAACCTGCCTGCTCCTTCTAAACTGTGCTTAACGCCTTAGAGCCAAGTAATCTAGGGATTACTACACTCTAATGTATAGTTAAGATTTTATAATGTAAAATATAAGTAAATAAATAAAGGAACAACAAAACTGGGGTGAACAAGGAACRGGGATGTGATTATTGTCTGAGAAAGGCAAAACAAACAGAAGTAATAAGCACAGGGTGCAGCTTATTCACCTTGACTGTTTTGTTTCTTTTTCCCTCCAGATGCTCATGCCCTGTCTATTTTTCTGGTGATGCTTGGAAAATTTGGAATCACATCAGCCTTTTCTATGCTCTATGTCTACAATGCTGAGTTATACCCAACGTTAGTGAGAAACATGGCAGTGGGCGCCACCTCCACCGCTTCCAGAGTGGGCAGCATCGTCGCTCCGTACTTCGTGTACCTGGGTGAGAGGACCCATGAAATTTTTACTGAGTTTTGTTAACTCCCCGATTTCCTTAGGGCCAGCCTCTGAGAATCCTGTTTCACTGACCAAAACAGGATCCTAAGCTATAGGAACTTTAGGAGAAACTTGTGAGCTACTGCTATTTGCTACGGCTAAATTAGGACCTTGCAGTTCATCCAGCTTGTGAACACAGAAGGAGATCAAATCACAAACTTTGGCTCTGTGCGAAATTCCCAGGACTCTTGATTTTAATCCTGGTTTATTTCATACGTTATTAAGTACACCGCTTTATCCCAACTAAAAAATAAAGCTGTCTAATCCTATTTGGCATTTTCTCTGCCTTAAATGCAGGAATTGCTGGCTAATCTCTTTCCTTTTCATTTCTGTGCTATTGTGGCATGGGAGTCTTGCTTCCTGCCCAAACACTTGTGCACTAACTTGAGGCTTCTGGCAGTGGCCGCTATTTTCTAATCCAAAATGAGACTCTGGGTAGACCAAGGTCACAGCCTCTTGTCTGTCACAGGAGGCCTGATGCTTTCTCCACTTCTATTAAGGAACATATTTAAGAATTCCCCTGTTAATGGCCTGTTAATCAGAAGCTGGCCTGTGAAACTGCGATTAGTCCCTTCCCTTCTCTTGCACAAGACCAGCAGAATACAGAATCCCGGGCAGCTGATGAGATCTGGCTGTTTATGAACATGTCTTTTCTCTCATATTTTTAGTTTCTTGCATTTCTATTTTGTGACTGAAAACTTAGTTCCAGATGACGCTATAATATTGATTTTTTACATGAGTGATTCTAGCATGGTTGTTTTCTTAAAAAATGTTAGCTATGCCTGTTGAAAGTGTACAGAGCAACAACTTGATGCTAAGCAGGCAGTAATACTGATGAGAGCTGGTGATAACAATATGATCATTTAATGATCATATATTGCATTTTAAAATAAGATAAAAAAAAAAGAGGTTGGCTTCATAGTTTATACCGCACAACCACACATAGCTCAGTTTGGGGTTAATGTCTGATATTTATAAAGATTTCAATTCATTAGTCCAAATGAATTCTGTGTTACAGCGATGTCTACGTTATAAATTACTTCATATTTATTTATATTTATTATCAATGAGTTCACTGTATGATTAACGTTGTCATGCCCCATGTTCTGCCAGGTGCCTACGACAGATTTCTACCTTACATCCTCATGGGAAGCTTGACTGTGCTGATAGGGATCCTTACCCTGTTCCTCCCTGAAAGCTTTGGGAATCCTCTCCCGGAGAACTTCGAGCAAATGCAAAGGGTGAAATGGTAAGTCCTGGGCAAATGGATCCACATGAAATCCATGGGCATACACTAGAGTACACGTTAAAGCACTTGGCCAGAGGAGATGGGCAGTGTTTGTAGTCATTATGGTGGGAGGGAAAATTGGGAGAAGCAGAGAGAAGTTGAATTGGTCAGAGTGCAACTCCAAAGCTACCATCCAGGATACTGAGAATTTGTAGTAWGAATGGAATATAAACAATAATAAGTTTTAAAAAGCTTGGAGATGCCTACACCTAATCCTTGGTCTGTCTAAGGATCTGTCATTACATTTTCAGAGTAAGAATTCTCAGGTGAGGTTCCTGGAGAAGGGCGCCCTGTTCCTGATCACAATTAGGGCCTTCTGCTGTGTCTGACATGGGCCTTTTAAGCTGCACCACTGAAGAATCAAACCAGATTCTCTTCACTAGTTTCTCACATAAACAGAATGAGAATGCAGTAACAGTCACTCGGTCACTCACATTCCAGCTGCAGGTGCCGCTTGCTGCCATAGCTTGGTCCATCCAGGAGKGCACGCTGAGTTTTTTCATTCATCCTAAGTCTGTATTGGCTATTACTAATTTTTTAAGAAGTGCTTCGGTGTCACTGTGTAAAATGTTCCACTCTCTTTCAGTTTCAGAAATGCACAAAAAACCACTGGTGTTAGGAAATCAAAAGAGAATCCTAAAATGCTGGTAACACCATTGTGAAGAAGGCTGGCCACTCAGAAGGGCTGCAAGAACAAGGAAAACAAAACCCAACAGTTAATACTACTGTGCCATAGTTATGAACCTATATCCCCTTTTGCTGCTGTCTTTTACTGTAGTTTACTGCACAGATGCTGTCTATTCCCATAGGGTTGTTTAGTCTGTAATTCAGTGTTCTGATAGTYGGAGTTTTTCAGCAGACAGTCCCTGTCGAAAACAGGAGCTGGATGTGCCAAGTGCGTTTGAAGAGCGGGCTAGAAACAAGTATTGGGAATAATACAGCAATGACTCCAGTCATGTACTCAGTGAAAGCTGCTTATGGAAAAATTGAAAGGCCAGTTAAAAAAAAGAAAAGAAAATAAAAAACAGAGGGAACATCCTGCATATTAACTGGAAGAGGAGCAGCTGGGTACCTTTCTTTGGAAATCTCAGCATGCATCCCTAAAGGAAAGATCCCAGCCTCCTTTGAAACCTGTCCCAATCCCAGTACACATTAAGTGGAATCAGAACTTAGCTGTAACAAAGCACACTTTTGACTTTTAAATCAAAAGYGACTTTGATTTTTAAATAAGGCATTGCAGTATGTTTTGATGGTCCATGCTTTTGCCCCACTGAAATCACTAGGCTTCATGGATCAGCATCTCTGTGGGGGAAGGAGTCTTAAATAAGAAATACAGTTTCTTACAGGTAATCTCCATTTTCAAAAGAAAAACAGTCTTCAGCAAACAAATGATTTAAACATAATATGCATTTTTAGCTACTAGATTTTCAAGGTATATAGGCATAAACAATTTTTAAAATAGCTTTTTGAGAGTGTTTTTTCCAAAGTGTTTCATTTCTCCTTGGATCTATGGCATGTTGTGCTGTACCTTCAGAGAAAACTCATTCTGATTTTGAAAGCATCTATAAAAATCTTTGCACTATTTGCAGATTTAAAGGGGATTTGGTGCTCACAAAGATCTGTTGTTCTGTATGGGAATTGTTCACCTGCAACTACTGACAAAAGGGCTAATTTGGGACCACACAGTTATTTCAAAACAAATGCCAACAAAACCAGTTTTCTATTTTTCAATTCTACAAGTCATACATGCTTTTTTAAAAAGTACAGTAAAACAATATTAGATGAAAAGTCAAATGCAGTATAGTTTAGAGCTGTGCTACTACTGTTTTTAAGCACTACATAGGCTGAAAAATAAAAGATACTACTTATTTATTGGCTGCACAAAGACTTTTTTGGTCACATAAAGTCTCTTAGACCTGGTAGACTGATTTTTATCCTCTAAGTAACAACAAACCATGATTTCTGTAACGGCCCAGCAGAAGGAAGATGTTTTGTCTCTAATATAACTCATGGCAGTTTGTCTGCTGCTGGCTCTTGGCACAGAAATGATTAAGTACAAGCACAAATACAAAGCTTTATAACATTTAAATACAAGTAACTTGTGCAGTTACTTCAAGCCGTGCAATTACTTTCCATGTTTGAGACATGGAAATATCATTTCCTTTCATATTAATTTTCTGCAGTCATGTTTTCGCCATAAATGGAATATAGCATGAGGCAACGATTATCCTGTGATCTCTAACACTGTTTCATCTCTTCTCAAGCTGGAGTTTTTCTAATGACAACAGTATTTAATTTTGGTTTTACTTATTATAAAGACATCTCTACAATAACTATTTAGACTTAACTAGATTTCTCAACAAAGCCTTTTAAAGACTTCGCTAAATATAGGTGGCTATATTTTTATGAAGATTTTTATATTAAGTTGATACTTCTTTTATGTGATCATAAGCTCAGACATTTCTAAAAGGCAAATATTTTTATATTCTTGAACTTCATAGCGTCTTAAAGTCTAGTATTCCTTTTTTATCTAAGAGGAAGGGTTGTGGGTTTTTTTTAATGCCTTGTTTTAATCAGTCTTTTTTTTTTTTTTTGCTTATATTACTTATATTATTATCTAAAGTAATGCCAAACACTAAAATATTTTAACATCAAATTAAAAAAAAAAAATCAGCTTAACAAGAGTGGCATGCAGTTCTCACAAAGTATGTGATATTGTTAATGTTTTATGAGGACTTYAAAGGACTTTAAATTATGTCCGAGCTTATTAAAAAGGGGGAAGGGAGATTGCTTCAGTTGAAGCATTTGCAAGGAAAATTTCTGTCCTCTGCCAGTAAGTCTTTCACAGTCTTGAACGGTGAAGTGATTCCTGAAGAAACCCAAAGAGCCACAGAGTGTGGAAGATTCAAAGGGGACTGAAGTTGGATGGCAGGAGTGCCCATTTCTGGCACGTTACTCTCTTTTTTAATTATAAAGCTGAAGRAAATAGTATTGCTTAAATAGCTTTTTCAAAAAAACAACAAAAAAGATTTATTGCTAGTGAAGTATCCAGGCCTTCACTGCAATCTTCAAAGCTGTCTGCGTGTCAAATACTCCGTGGGGCTGAGTAGGTGACCTCTGTTTATGAGCAGCTGGAATTCCTGGGGGAAGCACTAGCTGGACTGCCCCGGTTGCTCGGTGGGAGCTGCACTATTCCTCATACTTCACTTCTGCCCCACTTATTGGAGCCTGTGTGGTAACCTTTTACCCCGGGTGAGATCTGAAGTTGACTTATTGACTTTGTTAAAACATACCTGGAAAACGTAGCTGTTGTCACTTGTTAACTTTTGTCTTTGTTGTAATGAAAGTGTGTACTGGCACTGTATAACCTACTTCCTGTGTGGATTGTAACTGAGGAATAAAGTCTCCTAACTTTAACACTTTGTGCGAAGAAGTTTAAAAAAGTAATCAGAAATTAAGTATGTTCCAGTTAAACAGAAAATATTTACCTCAATATTATCCAACAGTAAAGTTTCCTGTAAATCACTGGACTCTGTTATAGAAATATGTTTTTGTTGCAGACCAGGGACAAGGTAAAGGACTAGTTTACACTTGGACTTAGGGAAACCTCCTTCCTTTGATCATGCTGAGAAACAAATAAATTGAATCAAGGCTCCTGGCTCACGCAGGTATAGCCGCCCAAACCCCAGCCTCACCAAGAACCCCGYAGGCTGGTGCGCTTGGAGCTCGTAGCCAACCAAGGGTAGTGCAGTGAATACAGTGAATTAAAGCACTTTTTCCAAAGTTGGTTTGTGACAAGGTCAAAGCTAAAACCAAGCATTCCAGTAGCCGGTTTAAAAAAAAAAAAAAAAAAAAAAAAAAAAATCTGTGCTTTGTAAATGTGAAAAATCTTGTGCTCTCCCCCGTGTCCCAGCACCGCAGCCCTTCCTGCCCTCTCTCCTCGGACACAAATAAGGGACGAGGCTCCAACCACGTCCCCAGCAGGGGCCGGACGCCCCATTTCTATTTTCTGCACCCAATTCTGCAAGGAGATGCCAGCCTTGAGCGTCACCCATCGTACTGGTGTCTAAGGGTGGGGAGGAGCCCCCCACACTTCCCCTCAGCTTCCTGCTGTCCCCTCTGTCCCCTGCGCTCCCCGAGAGCCCCCTCTCTCCACAGGACCCCGCAATTCCCTACAACCCCCCATTCCCTCAGCACCCTGCTCTCCTCTCAGCCCCCAAAACTGTCCTCAGCCCCCTTGGGTCCCCACCACCACTGTCCTCAGCCCCTATCACCCCACGCTCTCCCCACATTCCTGTCAGCCCCACCACTCCACAAATTCCCCATGCTCCCCTCAACCCTCTTGAATGCCCCCCAACTCCTCAGCCCCCCAACAGCCCCCCACACTCCCCCGAGCTCCCTTGGGCCTCCCACTCCCCTCAGCCCCTATCACCCCACGCTCCCCTCAGCCCCTATCACCCCACTCTCTCCCCAGGCTCCCCTCAGCCCCCTCGAGCCCCCCACACTCCCTCGAGCTCCCCTCAGTCC